GTGTCCCACACCTGCCCAGCCCCACACCTGCCCAGGTGTGACTCACGATGTCGGGGGTGGTGCCGATCTTCTTGGCCAGCTCGCCGCGCTCCATGGCGCTCAGGTACAGGAACCTGCCCAGCAGCTCCCCGTCCAGCACGTTGCGCACGGCGTTCTGCAGCAGGCGCCGCTCCGACTGCAGCAACCTGCACAGGTGGGACAGGTGAGCCACGGGTGGGACAGGTGAGCCACGGGTGGGACAGGTGGGGCAGGTGAGAGACAGGTGAGAGGTGAAAGGTGAGGGACGGATGAGAGACAGGTGAGGGACAGGTGGGACAGGTGAGAGGTGAAAGACAGGTGAGGGACGGGTGGGACAGGGCAGACAGGTGAGACAGGTGAGCGACGGGTAGGACAGGTGAGACAGGTGAGCGACGGGTGGGACAGGTGAGGGACAGGTGAGGGACGGGTGAGGGACAGGTAGGACAGGTGAAAGGTGAAAGGTGAGACAGGTGAGGGATGGGTGAGGGACAGGAGAACAGGTGAGAAGGGACAGGTGCAACTGGCGAGACAGGTGTGAGATAGGACAGGTGAGGGACAGGGGACACGTGAGACAAGGAAAACGTCAGATGGGACAGGTGGAACAGGTGAGACAGGTGTGAGATGGGACAGGTGTGACATTGGATGGGGTGGGACAGGTGAGACAAGTGTGAGATGGGACAGGTAAGGTGCAGGGGGACAGGTGAGGGATGGGGGGACAGGTGACAGGTGAGGGACAGGTGAGGGACAGGTGAGACAGGTGGGACAGGTGTGAGATGGCATAGATGTGGGACAGGTGACAGATGAATGAAGGACAGGTGAGGGACAAGTGAGAGACAGGTGAGGGACAGATGACAGGTGAGACAAGTGAGGGACAGGTAAGATAGGGACAGGTGAGGTGGCACAGGTGAGGTGGGACAGGTGAGGTGGGACAGGTGCGAGGCAATGCTAGGACAGGTGTGGGGCAGGTGTTGGTTCCTAAATGCCTTGAGGCTGAGCCCTGCCAGGTACGGCGGGTGTGACCAGGTGTGCCCAGGTGTATCCCAGCTGTGCCCAGGTGTGCCCAGGTGTACCCCAGGTGTGTCCTTACCTGAATGCCCGCAGGTTGAGCCCCGCCAGGTGCGGCAGGGCGGAGCTCAAGTGTGCCCACGTGTGCCCCAGGTGTATCCCAGGTGTGCCCAGGTGTACCCCAGCTGTGCCCAGGTGTGTCCAGGTGTACCCCAGATGTGCCCAGGTGTACCCAGGTGTACCCAGGTGTGCCCAGCTGTGCCCAGGTGTATTCCAGGTGTACCCAGGTGTATCCCAGGTGCACCCAGCTGTGCCCAGGTGTACCCCAGCTGTACCCAGGTGTACCCAGGTGTATCCCAGGTGTACCCAGCTGTACCCAGCTGTTCCCCAGGTGTGCCCTCACCTGAAGGCGCGCGGGTTGAGCCCCGCCAGGTGCGGCAGGGCGGAGCTCAGGTGTACCCAGGTGTATCCCAGGTGTGCCCAGGTGTTCCCAAAAACAACAAATCCCACCCCAAACCAAAAAACAACAAATCCCACCCCAAATCCCAGAAACCCCGAAAACAACAAACCCAACCCAAACCCAAAAACCACAAACCCACCCAAAATCCCACCCCAAATCCCAAAAACAACAAACCCAAAAACAACAAACCCACCCCAAACCCCACCCCAAATCCCAAAACCAACAAATCCCAGAAACCCCGAAAACAACAAACCCCACCCCAAACCCAAAAACAACAAACCCCAAATCCCAGAAACCCCAAAAACAACAAATCCCACCCCAATCCCAGAAACCCCAAATCCCCAAATCCCAGAACTCCCCAAATCCCAGAACCCCCAATCCCAAATCTCCAAGTTCCAAAACCCCAAATCCCAAAACCCCAAATCCCAGAACTCCCCAAATCCCCCAACTCCAGCTCCCCATCCCCCGCACACAGGGTCACACCTGGATCCTGCACCCCAAAGCCCAGGTGTGCCCCAGGTGTGACCCCACCCTACAGGTGTGTCCCCACCTCAGGTGTGTCCCCACCCCAGGTGTGTCTGGTGTGCCCTCACCTGAAGGCGCGCGGATTGAGCCCCGCCAGGTGTGGCAGGGCGGAGCTCAGGTGTACCCAGGTGTACCCAGGTGTGCCCAGGTGTATCCCAGGAGTACCCCAGGTGTGCCCAGGTGTGTCCTCACCTGAAGGCGCGCGGGTTGAGCCCCGCCAGGTGCGGCAGGGCGGAGCTCAGATGTGTACAGGTGTATCCCAGGTGTATCCCAGGTGTGCCCAGGTGTACCCCAGGAGTACCCCAGGTGTGCCCAGCTGTTCCCCAGGTGTGCCCTCACCTGAAGGCGCGCGGGTTGAGCCCCGCCAGGTGCGGCAGGGCGGAGCTGAGCGCGTTCTGCAGCATCAGCAGTCTCCTGTAGGTTTTCTCCTGCATGGGCAGCAGCAGCCCCAGGCCCCCGTCCAGCGTCGCTGCGGGGGCGCCGTCAGCGCCCGGGAACAACCAACCCGAAACCCCAAACCCACCCAAATCCAAAAACAACCAACCCAAAAACAACA